ACATTTGTAGAAACGGTGCTGTGTTTAGAAGGATATTTTAAGAAACGACAATAAAAAAGATTGTTTAGGTTCTTGTGTGGACATGGTCTAAGTTTAACAGCTGAACAGGTCTAACCTGCTGAGAGAAAATCTTGGCTGTAGTTAATATTTTATTTGTTTTATGGCCAAATGAACAGTTAGGCTGTGAAATGTTCCATATGTTTTCTTTAAACAGAACATTAATTTTTTAAAGGTTTGTTTTGTTTTCTTTTTTTCCATTGATCGTCTGAAACATTTGACTTTACATCCTGAAGTTTAAATTTCAAGACATTTCTCTGCATCGGTTTATTATTATTATTATTATTTTGTTTCCTTTCCACATTTTCTGCCTTCCACTGGTCTCTGTATTTTCCCAGCCCTCTTGTATATGTGGATAATTTTAAAGCTCTTCTAACAGACGGTGTTGCATTCCATTAGTGGTAATGCAATCACGTGTGCGCAGTCAGTGTTGAGTGCTTTTAGAGCTGTGGCTTTTTGCAGCCTTTCTTTCCCAGGCAGGAATATTTTACCTCTTTAATGAATGCTCCTCTGCCAAGCACAATGAAAACAAAGCAATTAGCTCCCAAAAACGGAAGCGGGCGGTGTTACTACAAGTCGAGCACATTCTGTCTCGTGTGTTTTGGTGTGTTTTAATTTCCTGCTCGTTTTGTTTGTTGACAGTTCAACATCGGTACTGGCTCCACATTGATAAATGACAGACAATGCTCTAAAATCTGCTGCTCTTCTTAAAAAATGATTAATTGGGGGCTTCACTGATGCTTACCATTAAAAGCTAAATTTCACCATTTCTGGTAGCACTTTAAATGGAAAGTGATTGAGTTTGATGCACAGTGGCTGAACATGTTTTAAATATGTCTGGCTGCAGTTGATTGTTGTGCTGATGGGATTATAATGTAAAAGTAGCTGTAACTCAGTTGATTTTACAGACATTGATCTCAAACTCGGCGTGGTAGTAGCTGATGATCACCCCCAACACATACTCTAAGTGCTAGCTGATCGAGCTTAGATGTATTTGCAACATTTTGCTAATAAATTATTGAAGTCAACTTCCTTTGTTTGTCAGTAAAATATGTCACAAACCGCTGAAGGGATTTTAATTAAACTTGCAGAAAACAATTGGGGTGTACAATTAATTACATTTTCAAGTCAACTCAATTTAAGATGGCTGCCACAGCCAACTGAACTCATGAAATACAGAACAACGTAGGCAATGTTACATATTTTGGGCAAACTTTGATGTGGTAGTAGCTGAGAACTAAAACTGTGGCATTACCTATTACAGTCAACACATGAACAGATGGATTTTGATGGAACTCAGAAAATAAATATTAGATGTACATCTATAACTGATATTTGGAGTTGAACCAGTTCAAAATGAAAGCCACAGCTAATCTACTTTTGCTAACTCACAAAAAATGTATAACCTAATTTACAGATGTTGAGGCGTTTACATGGCACTAGCTGAGCGTCATTCTCAACACATACTTCGAACATTAGCTCGTCTTGCAAGATTTGGCTGTGGCGCCCATCGTGAGTTAAAACTACGTCATGAAAGTCGGCGGGCAATAAGCATCAAATCATAGAACAAGTCATTTACATTTGGCTGAATGAGTTTTATTTTCCGCCAATTATTTGGGAAAGAGATGGGGAAAAAAGAGCAATTGTGGTTTTTACTTGTCATTCAAAGCTGCTAAATACAAATTAGTCTTAACGCGTGCAGTTGATTGCTACAGTTTATGTTCTGCTGCTGCGTTTGACATCTCTGCTCAGCAAAACGGCCTTATTGGTAGAAAATAATGCAGCTCTGATATTCTTCCTCTTCATTCTATTTGACTGTCTGCTGGGTGAAATCAGCTGGCGGGCTCTTAATGTGCTGTTAAAAATCACCAGCTAGATCTCCCTCACCCCCTCCGCCTCCCCAAATGAATTCCCTTTGCCTTTTGCACAGCTTATTATTGCGCCACTCGCAGTACAATATGTCCTTATTGAAGCTTTCAGATGCAAATGAAGCGGCGTCACCTTCTCTGTGTCGTGCTGACAGCTGTGTGGACCCCCCCAGCCTCCTATAATTGCTACTAATTGTTATTCCCTAGGCAGGACTTCGCAGAGCACTTCTGAAGACCCTGTTATTTGGACTGGAGGGGTGGGCATGATGGGGTTTTGTGTTGAGCGTTGATGTCTTTAGCTTGGTAATTCTTGGTTCAGAATTTCAAGTAAATGAAGAAGTTTGGATGTGGCATCAAATGGGAGGGGTTTGAAGGAAATTTTTTGGGGACGAATATTTGGTATATCATATCTCTGTCAGAGAATTATGGTCACCAAGTCAAGACCCAGACATGTTGATGATCGTTATGATTGATCAGTGTCAGGTTTGGATTACACTACACCATTCTGAGTGAAACTGTAGCTTTTCAGTTGTTTGTGTACAGGACAACAGCACTCGTTTTTACTAAATCTGAACTTTTTTGAATCCCGGTCTCATAGTGGAGGTTTTTGGAGACCTCCCTGGCAAAGATGTGAAATCGCATGTGAGCATTATGCTTGCTCAGGATGAGTCTGGCTCCTCAGATAAATAATGTTATCAACTTACTTTTATGTACAGTAGTCCCTCGTTTATCACAGGGGATCCGTACCATGAAGCCCCGCGATAAGTGAAAAACCGTGAAGTGTGTGTGTGGGGCGGGGGGGTGTACAGGAACAACATATACTCCTACCGGTAGTTGTCAAAAGCATAGAGGGCCATCTCACGCCTCTAGCGGCTGCAAATGGTAATGTTTACGCTGATTCATGTCAGTGTGAATGAACATTTAAAGCGTCAGTCAAAAACTGCATTATGAATATGGAAAAAAATTATATATAAGTCGCTTTGGCGTATAAGTCGCAGGACTGGAAAATCTATGCATAAAACAAACAAACTACGACTTATACGCCAGAAAATATTGGAAATTATTTCAGTTTTATAGAAACCATCTTAAAACGTTTGGCCAGTTCGGTTTGAACTTTAATACTAACAAATGGTATGCCAATGTCCCCGATCACTAATGGGTTTGAATAGTGAATGTTTGTAGTTTTAGCTACAAGTGTTTTTCTGGACTCTGAACAGAGAATGCAAGTAAACCCCAATATTTGTTGCAAGATATTGGAGTAGGTAAGAGTTAAACTGTGTATAAGAACAGATGGTGTATATATATATATATATATATATATATATATACACACACACACACACACATTTAAAATTTTTTTATTTTTTTTTGTTTGTGTTTTGCTTCTCCGAGGCAACGCAAAGTGACAGATCCTGGTGAGTGGCGAGTCTGTTTGTCATCAGATTATGGCTGTGGCTCCTCTGAGACTCGGTCATATGAGGGGGATAATGTAGTTGGATCAGATGTTGAATGTTTGCTGCATCGTGGTTGTCATGTCTCAGTGTTTCCTGGGGGCATTAGAGACAGACGCAGAGCAGAGGCTCAGTTTATCTGTGTCACAGTGTCCACTGGCTGTCTGTCTAGCTCTGCATCTCAAAACTCTTGTTTATGTGGACTGACAACTCTCACAATGCTGCTGTCACACTTTAAAATACACACAAAAATAACACTTGACCCTAAATGTTATGTACCAAACTAGAAATTTTCTGCTGAAGTTTTAGAGTGCCAATGCAGCTACTGCTAAAAATGTCAACTTCATCCATCCGTCCGTTATCTTTATCCGCTTCATCCTTTTTGGGTTGTGGGCGTCACTGATGTCCATATCCAGCAGTCACTGTGTGAGCGGCGGGGGACAGGTTTCCAGTTCATCACAGGGACACACAGAGACAACCAAAATAAAAGCCATTCACATTCTTACTCACACTTGGGTCCAATTTACTTACCAAAAGTTTTAAAATTCTTAACTTATTTCCATGTTTATTAGGTCATGTGAGGAACATGTATGCATCAGAACTTCACTTTAAAAATGTGTCTTCCTATGTGCATCAACTGTATCTACGTCTACTTTTATTGTAAAGCAAAAATAACACATCAACTGTTTTCCATCAAACTTTTCTAATGTCCAAAAAACTTGATGGGAACCCACCAGTAAACTCCATGTGTGCAGCAAATATTTTCTTACTCTGAGACGTTACGGTTTTCTGCAAAACACCGCCTTTTGACAAGTTGTAAAAAAATTAACTTAAATCAATGTTAATGTGAGCTTTAGCTGATTAATAATAAAAAAAACACAGATTAATCAAACTCAACTGTTAGTGCTTTGAATTTCAAATTCTCCATCTTGTTTCCAATCAGTGCCTCATTTCACAGTAGTTCAGCTCATTCCTGTAACGTCCCATACTCGTCCTGGTTTCTGTCTCTGTCTAAAGACTGCTGAGCATCTGAAGGATTGTAAGCCTGCAGTCCACTCGGTTCCATGACTAATAGTGTAATTTAGGCCGGCTGATGTGCAGCAGGAAAAGGCCTTTGAAGTGGAGTAGAAGAAGATGTTGGCGCTCGCGCAGCGACTCGAGCAGCGACATCAAAGAGAACAAATAGTTGCCATGGAGGTAAACGCTGCTCTCTTTCTTCCTGGATCTTTTTTTTTCTCCACTCTTGTCGTTTAAAGCGTTTTCTTTTGTTCTTGTTTCCATTTACTCGTTCTCCTGTTTAGATTCTTTTTTTTTTTAATGAGGGGGGAGTTTGTTCCTGTTCTTGTTTTATGTAAGAGTATAAAGTTAGAGTGCCTACTTTTTTTATGGCTTTTTCTGCTGTCTGTGTGTTCTTACATATATATATATATATATATATATATATATATATATATATATATATATATATATATATAACAAAGTGAACCCCAAGAGGAAGGATGTTGAGCTCTTAACACATTGAGGTTGTATCTTCCGGGCTGCAACTAGTTGTTGAAGGGTCTTCATGAGGGAGTGTCCTGTATGTCTTGCAACTTTTGCAGAGTTCTCAACTTCCTCAAATGAGTCATCGAGGCGCACAGCCCCTCGGCTTGAGTTTTGAACATGTTCAAAAAAATATGTGTAACAACTTTTCTCTTTAAAGACTCACAGTTTTCGTAGGCCTCTCCAGCACATCTGAATTTCACTGCAAGCATCTTCCATTCATCTCAAGAGCACTAGAGCTGTTTTACGCCTGCACAAGATCACAAGTGTGGCTAAGGCACCATCTTAAGGAAGAAAAAGCATCCAGCTAAAAATACGTATAGAGATGCAAAATGTGAAAAATATATTCTACTGTTAACTTTTAGTGTTGTTTTAATGGTTTAATGTGTTTTATGGTCGTTTTCATTTCTTTCTGCAACATAAAATATATTCTACCTGTGAGACTTTAAACAGACAAGTCAGTATAGAGACCAAATAAATGCTTCATACATTAAGATTTAAAGGCCTTTCTGTCACTGATGGAACCAAAGCCTGAAATGTAACTGTGGAGGAACAAAACTATTATTTTAGCCTGATGCCAGCTCTGTCAGTCTAATTATCCTGATGATCATGAATGTTGTGTTCCAGTGAAAGGTCAAATCTGCCAATTACAGTCTGTAACAGCATCAGTTTGTAAACAGAAACAGTAAAAAGTGACTTTGTTTTCTCTCTCTCTTCTTGTTCTTCTCGGCAGGATGTTGAAATTCGGACTAACGCAGCTCAGTACCTGCCTCAGATCAGCGACCTGCTGAATCGAGTTCCTCGGCAGATGCTGCTGCTGCTGAAGACCACCGACCTCCTGAGGGGCATCGAGACCACGTTACAAACCAGAGCTTCGTCCTCATCCTTCATCAACATGTCCCGTTGCTGCGTGCGAGCTGTGGCCAGGTCAGGAACTCTCTGCTCCTAACAGCCTTTTCCTCTTCAGGTTTCTTTTCCTACGTTCTCTGACAGCAGATCAACAATGTTTATTTCATTCTTCATGCTTAATCTTGTAGATGATTTGAGAATATTTTGTACCTTTGTCAGAGTTCAAGCGTCTTTATAACTATTTCAGGCTGACCGTGTAAACGTATTGCCCAGTTAAAGTTAAAGTAAACCTTCAAAATGGAATTTGCTCATCACCTTTCCCTATTTCTGACAGACACAAGAGGATCAAGGCTCGGTCCAGGAGGCGGCGTCTCCAGATCACTTTGGCAGAGTCTCTGAGTTTGTGGAAACTCTCAGTTTATGAACTTCTTCTGTGGGTCAGAGGCTTAGTAATCACCCGCTGGCTCGCTGCCCTGCTGACGTTTCTGCATTGACACGTCTGGAACATATGTATCAGGACATCAAAACTGTGGCAGAACATGCACACAGTTTGTCACAAGCAAGTGAACAGCTGCCATTTGGATTTAAGTTCCCATTCAGCATAGCTTGGATAAAGTTTTTTTATTTTTATGTTAGAACATAACTAATCTTTCCAACAAAGTTAAGTCAGGTCATCTGGATAATTTCTTTTTTTGTTGTTGAGACGTTTCTTCTTCATCTAAAGGACTTCATCAATCTGAGGAGCCTCAACAAACTCAGTCCCACAAGCAGCACACTCAAATAGTGGACCAACCCTCTCCCCAGTCAACTCCTCTGAGGCAGCCGTAGCCAAAGTGGTTCAAAACATCAAAGTTCACACTCATTAGTCTAGTTTCTTTTTTTTTTTATTTTCATTTGAGGCGTTTCGTTCTTCATCCAAAGGACTTCATCAAGGAGGAAGTCCTTCGGATGAAGGCCGAAACGTCTCAACAAAAAAAAAGAACCATCCAGATGATCCAACTTAATTTGTTGGATTTTTTACCTGAACTATTGAGCATGAACTTCGATGACTGATCTTTGTTTTACCTTCGTTGTTTCAGAATCAGGTGAAGGAGTACAACACGGTTGTTTGGTTTAATTAAACTTAGTATTTATTGAGGTTTTCCTCAAACCAGTGGTAAACCAGTGGTTCTCAAACTTTCTCAAATTCTCCTTTTATAGTGGAAAAAAAATCCAGCCCGCCCTCACCACAACAAAAATAAGACAAACTGAGTCAGATTTAACTGTAATCATATTGCTTCTTTGGACTGAGCTTTATTTTTATTTATTTTATTTTATTTTATTGTAAGAAAACAGATTGATCGAAATAAATCAAAATGTCCATTAACTTTTAGAACCATGTAAACGCCAACAAATATTAATTAATGAGAGCTCAATATCTGCACAGCATTATAAAATGTGTTCATTTTCATTGTATTGTGGATGGATAGAATACTTTAGTTTGGTCTATAACTTTTTAAGGATGGAGAAAAATAGGGGTGGTCACACGCACACTATGATTTATTTTAACACTGTTCACTGACCCCACAGTTTGAGAACCACTGTTTGAAACCAAACAACTCTAAACAAGTGGCCTGAGTGTTAAGACCATCACAGTGCTGAAAAATGAGAAAAGTTACTCACTCTGATTCTAGCCAGCTGCTCTCCTTCCATCTCAGAAGGAAAGAGACGTACCCCCTGAGAGTTTGGAAACAATAAAAATGTAACACGTCTGATGTGAAACCTGACAGATGATGTCTGCTTTATTCCTGCTTCTCAACAAAATATCCCTACAGTATCAATCGGACCCATTTTCTGTTGATGCCTAATGTTTTCTGCTTTTTGAACAGTTCTCAGGTGATGGATCATGTTTACTGTTCTTAGGTCAGACATTGTTCACTCATTCCTGTGAATGTCTCAGATTTGAACCTGTTATTTAATGAAGATATTAATTCAATTCAGTTTATTTATATAGTGCCAAGTCACAACAGAAGTTGTCTCAGGGCACTGTACAAAAACATTCACATGCATTATAAAAGCCAATTAGTAAAAGTTATTTATGTAAGGAAGCCAGCCGTGTTGAATCTTCACTTCGTCGCAGTCTCCCATTCTGAGCAAGCACACTGGCGACCGTGGAAAGAAAAAACTCCCTTTTTAACTGGAAAAAACATGAACAGCCATCTGCTTTGCCTCAGGTGGAGGAGTTCAAGTATCTCGGCATCTTTTTCACAAGTGATGGTAGAATGGAAAGGGGGCTGGATTGACGGATTAGGGTCTTGTCCTCAGTAATGAGGGTGTTGCTTCCGTCTATCATGGTGAAGAAAGAGCTAAGTCTAGGGGGTGCACTGATTGCAGTTTTCTGGCCGATCACTCATTTCTAAAAAGTCTGACCTGCCGATTCCGACTTTGGCCGAGACCAATTTTGTTTTACAAGCGACACCGTCAGGTGTTATAAGGTCACAATGCACCTTCAATTTTCCAATATTTTATTAAAAAACATACCCTTGAACAATATCCTAGAAACAATACAAACTTGTATCAACTGGCCATGAGGTAGTGCTCTGAAATATAAAAGAAGTTTAGACAATTGTTGTTAAAACTAAAAAAAAAAATTGGTAAAATCGGTTTCTCGTGCAAGTATCGGCTGATTTCCCAAAATTAAGGAAATCGGGGCCCCTATCTAAGTCATAAGGCAAAGCTCTATTTACTTGTCTGTGTATGTTCCAACCCTCACCTATGGTCATGAGGTTTGTATCATGTCCGAAAGAATGAGATCTTGAATACAAGCGGCTGAAGTGGGCCTCCTTCTCAGGATGGCCGGACTTATCCTTAGAGATAGATTGAGGAGCTCTGTCACCTGGAGGGAGCTCAGAGTAAAGTTGCTGCTCCTCCGCATCGAAAAGAGTTGAGGTGGTTTGGGCATCTGATTAAGATGCCTCCTGGACGCCTCCCTTTAGATGTTTTCTGGGCACGTCCCACTGGTAGGAGGCCCTGAGGAAGACCCAGAAGTTGCTGGAGGGATTGTGTATCTTCTCTAGCCTGGGAACGCCTCAGAGTCCCCCAGGATGAGCTGGAAAGTGTCCAGGGGAGAGGGTTTCTCTCCTGGACTTGTTGTCTCCACAACTTGACTATGAATAAGCAGTAGAAGATGGTGATGGAAAAATGTGGGTACGCACTCGATTTTAACAAAACACTTGTTTGAATTTGCCAAAAACTCTGTGGCAAGTTAATCGTTTGACTCATGTTTTTGTCACTTCAACCGTTTCCGTAGGTTACTAATCACACATTGGCCTCGGACATATTTTGTGTACAGCATTCATGAAGAATTATCCGTACAGTTTTCAGTATTTGTCTCAGACAAAAAGAGACTTAGGAATCTTTTTTTTTTCTTTTTGATGAACTCATTCTCACCAAGAAATTATTGAAAAAGTTGAGGCAGACTAAACTCTCCATTTCTTGGTCACTGCTGTCCTAATGTGTCTGTAAATATCTGAGCGGGCAGTGGCTCACAGCCTGTGTACATTTAACCGCTGTCGGTATGGCATAATTACTTCATAAATACGCAGAAAACCCAGATTAAGAGTACAGCCCCGCTGCGAGAAAATACTTAGGCACAGCGGGGCTTTGAGTTAAAAGCTAATGTCAGCAGGCATGTCAAAATACTCAGTGACTGAGGAACGTTCTTCTGTTTAGCAGGTAAAAGGTGTGCTAAAGCTGAAATTAGTTTTAAGGCTTATGATATAATAAAGAAACAGTTTTAGACTAATTGGATTTATGTCATGAAATCTTGGGAAGGTTTATCATCCTACTGTGAGAATAACATTTCTGTCTGCTCCAAATTCTTTGTAAAAATTAATAAATCAATATCTGGGAAGGAATGCATATCACCCACTCCGTCAGTGCAAGCATTTAGTTTAGGATAATATGTTGTGGAACAGAGTCATAGCTACCTTTATCAAACTTTGAAAATAACATTATGCACAATTTAATGCAATTTGAGTTATCTTACATGATCTAAAGCTTGAAGAACATATTGTGAATGACTCTCAGCTACTACCACACCATATTTTCAAGTCGACTTTATTGTCATTACCATCACGTGGTAAATGGAAAATGGGTTTTATTCCCAAAAAGATTCAAACTAATTTGTTACAGGGCCCTTAAAAGAGGTCAAATGAAGACAAAACAGACTTGAGCCAAAATCATGGCTCAAACTAACCGCTCAAGACAAAATAAACTGACCTGCCACACCGCAAACAAAAGGGATTTAAATATCTGGCTGATCAGACACTTGGGAAGAGGGAAGGGAAACGTCCACTCACAAATTTAACAAACAGCTGAACACAAACAGTTATCTTAAGAATTAACTTAAACAGCTAATAACTAAACATAAGGTTAACAAAAGCAGCAAATCACAAAGCAAAAGCGCTTATACAAGAATTAGAATAAAATACATTTCATGGTCTTCCCTCACCCATGGTGAAGCTCTGCGTGGTATCACCCAATCTGTCGATCTGGGATTAGAGTGCCAGTCAGAGTCCATGGTTTCAGCCCAGTTCAAAGGGCTCTCCCACAGCACCGGCAAAATAAAGAGAAAAAATTAAGTTTGACAGAATCAAATACACAAAGTTAAGTAAATGTGCGCAGTACAATTAGAACTAATGCATTTCAATATTGTCAAACAAATACATCCATAAACAAAGCCTGTATACATATACATGCTGCAATGTGTGCGATACATACATATATATATATATATATATATATATATATATATATATATATATATATATATATATATATATATATGAACGTGAAAAAGTGTTGGTGCGTGGGGTTACCGACTGGCTGCAGATGTGACCATCACAAAGATAACTGCTAAACAAACACCAAACGGTACCATAACAGATCTAAAATGTATATGTTAAACACTAATAATGTAAAACAGTACATCTTAACAGCAGCCCGAACATGAGTCTGTGGTGAGCAGATGAGTATGAATGAGATAATCAGCAGCATGAGCATGAGATGATCAGCAACAAGAGATCAGCAGCATTCGAGGATTACTTTTTTAGATCAGTATCTGTAAAAGGTATGGTATTTTTTTGTGTAGGCTGCGGTAGATTTTTACCAAGTACGGGGTGGATGCCCTAATTTTTTCCGACATCGTCTAAACATCTTGGGGACGAGCCGAAGGAGCGTACACCGACCGTTTGTCTCTACGTTTCAACCGTCTTTCTTTCCTTTTGTCCTGAGTTTCAGCCCGGACTCAGTGATTCAGCTTCTCATTTTAATTTCCATAATCCCTCCAGCAGCCAATCTCAGATACACACTCCTCACCAAGCCTGCTGATAATTTGCCTCTCTGTACAATTCATCAGCCAAAGTGCTTAACTGCAAAAATGTCCAGGAGGAGGAGTAAAAAAAAAAAAAAACTTCTCGGCCGCACTTTGGGAATCCAACCTGGTGTAATGGGTAGTTTAACAGGATGGTGGCTGTGCTTATTTTCAATGCGCTGTCAGGGGAATTGAAATTTGTTTCAGCATTGTTGGTGTTTCCCCCACATGTCAGAGACACCTTTTTCCAGCTGCTGTTCTCACTATTGTTAATTTCCTCATGCTTTTTAAAATATTTTTTCATAAAATGCC